TTACTTCATAGGAACACGCTTATTCAATGACACAGGTGGTGACATGTATGCAAGTTAAATGTGTTCATGGAGCTGGAAGTATGGCTACTATCATACAGCAAGTACGGAGTTTGATTCTCCTCTACTTGCACATGAAATGCACCTACCTCCACGTGGCTCTTGTGACACTGCTTTGACTCCTTCCTAGTCCCTGACAAAGCAGCACCTCCAAGTTTGCTATTAGATATGTAAAATTACTCAAAAGACATTCCTGCTGGAGCTGCCCTTGTCTGGCGGTTCCCCGGGTGCTCTGTGCAAGAGGAAACCCACACAGCGTGACCCTGAGTAAGGCCATTCCTGCAGCAGGTACGAGGAGCAGTAGATACTGAACAACCCATTAGCAAGGGCGCACCACTGTGCACAGGCCCCTTGCTTGTCCTTTCTATAAGGTATCTAATGCTGAAATGGAAGAGTTAACAACATTCAGGAAAGAGATCTCCCCCTTTACAACTAATTCAGTTTCAATTGTTAAACACACAAGTGAAAACCCTCAAGAAACAAGGGAATGTACACAAAGTTAGTTGAAGGGAATTTTCAGAAATACATATTTTCCCTTAATGATTATTAGCTAAACAGTCCTAAACCAAGCTGTAAGAAAGAAAAAAAATCAGAGTAATTTTACTTCTTACTACCCAGGGCTATATAGTAATTATGCAAATGGCAGCGAATTTGTCACTTCAAGTAACCATAAGTGTATAAAATAATTTCATTAAGTAAAATACCTTAGTCATCATACTAATTTGACAAGGACTTTAAAAATGTCTCTCAGCTGTCTGCCTCTGGGCTCGATATGCAAAAACCCATCTTCAAAATGATGCTTCTTTAGAAAGAAGAGAAAAAAAAAAAGAATAACAAATCCAGCAGTTTCACCTCACCCCTTAATTGCAAGCCCACTGAATGTTCTCAGGCCTAAAAATAAGTGACTATAAAGTGGTGAGATGGAGATCCGTTTACCACACTCAGTCATCTATGTCATTACTTTGTCACCACAACCTCAGGCATACTTTTGCATGACTCTAAATAGGGAAATACCCACCCCCAGTTCATAGGAGCTGCCTGGGTGCCCCACCCAGAAGACTAGACTGGCCTTTTTTTCAGTTTTCATCCTGAAGAAATTCAAAAGCATCTGTATGTGAGCCTCAGTCGTAACTGCCCAGAGGTGTCAGCAGTTTTAATTTCCTGTACACATCCTTATCTCCTCTAGTCCTCAGTAATTTGATAACATACACACCCTCTCCATGCAAGGCTACCCTCCGTGAATGACTTGAAACATCTCAGTGGGTCCCTACAAAGCACAGATAAACTGCACACAAAATTACTTTCTCTCCATGAAGTTCCCATATGCCTGCACCTCCTCCAAACAGTCCAAGACTCATACAGATGTTACATCCTGGAGGAGGTGCAGGTGTGTCAGACTGGAGCACACAAAGCAAAAACACAAGTACAAGAAAACCACACTGCAGCTGAGCACAGTAGTGCCTGTAATCTCACCAGCTGGGGAGGCTGAGGCAGGAGGATTACAAGTTCAAAGCCAGCCTCAGCAAAAGCAAGGCACTGAACAATTCACTGAGACTCTGTCTCTAAATAAAATACAAAATAGGGCTGGGGATGTGGTTCAGTAGCCAAGAGCCCTTGAGTTCAATCCCTGGTACTCAAAAAAAAAAAAAAAAATCACATTGCATTCTCTGTTCTGTGCACAATGACATATCAAATTGAATGGGCTTCTATTCCTTACTTTGAAAAAATTATTTCATGGCCAGCCAGGCAGTTTAACTATGTTAGAACATCCTTCTAACTGTTGGCTTATGTGAAGCATGATTTTGAATGAAGACATCTGCAACTGCAACAGATTTCAAAATACCCAGCTGATCCAGGTTACACTGGGTTTACATTGTCTATAGCACCTTATCCGTATCATCCCTGAGATCAAGATCAATGTCCTTCTGCACTGCCCTGGAAGGCCCTAACCTCTGGCAAAAAGTTGCAGGTCTGTAGTCTAGTCTAACAACTGCTGGCTTTCTCATGTACAGTTCTGCCTGAGTTTCCCTCTAGGTGGGTTTTCAAGGGAAACAAACACACACACGTCCTGCTTTTCTAAGTTGTTTCTCAACCCCAGGCAACTACCTACTTCAGTTTTGCAGATGGGAAGCCTATATCAGTGGCATTGAGGACACACTGAGAACACTGGGAAATTATCTATTCAGAAGAAAAAGGGAAAAAGGGAGAAATGAAATGAAACTTCCCAATGTTATTTTTTTTAAAAAAAAGACACCTGGGAAGAAAAGATAAGATAGCTTCGTGGACTTTTAGAATCAAATAGGAAATAATGTCACTGGACTCACATTTGCAATCACCCTCCTCTTTGAAATTAAGCACAATGGGCCATGTCCTCTGGCAAGCCCTTCACCAGATATGTGAAAATCAGAAGGGAAAGCTGATTCCCAGTGTAAAGACCACATATACATACATCATGCCTATGGACCCTGCCAGTGTGGTCACCTATAGACACTGCATCTTAGGTTTCCCAGGAAACCATGATCCATTACAAAGAAAAAAAAATCTGCTTTTCCTGCAAACATCCTGCACTAGTTTATTCTCCAATTATACAGAGAGAGGTCTCCTATGGCTGAAGGAACAACATACATTTTTTTTGGTTTGCCTCCCAAATTACAGATGCAGAGAGAACTCTGAAGTAGCCCAGAAGAACAAGGCCCATAGCAAGCTGATGCAATCAACCCTGGCAAGCCCCTATTTATTTTCATGAGGTTCAGATGGCCACAGAAAGTCAAGGGCAGTCAGGCAAAGCACAGTCCTGAGAACCTTATGCCCCAGTCCTAGTGATCAAAATAAATTCAGTTTCCTAGGCCTGTCCTCTTCTAGGCCTCCGTCTGCTTTCTGCAAAGCACCTGTTGACTCCTGTTACATTACCCCGTCCAATCAGGCTTTCCATCAGGCAAGAAGTGCCAGGATGCCGCCACCAGGTGGACTGAATTCCTCCTCTGCCTGTCAACCCCCTGATCTGTGATTCAAGTCAACCTCCCATCTCTTGGTGCCAGCCTGGCTTCGAGAAGTCCTCCACTCCAGGAGCACCCTGCTTTCTCAACTTTCTAATGGAGGTAGGCCATTCATCTGGCTGAAGTCCCACATTGCTTCCTTCTAAAACCCTTAGAGCATTGCAATAATAATAATATGCCCATGCTTTCATCACTCCAGGGATGAAAAGTTCTGTTGGTGTTGTTTTGCCACATACAAATAAGGCACTCTATTGAGAATGTTGGTTTAAGGCAAACTGTTAAAACTGGAGGCAGCTGTTGCTATACTTATTTTACCTCCTTTTACACACAGACCTGGTTAGGTACAATGGACTCTGCATATATGCTACAGTACTGATCCACATACATTTTACTGATGTGCATTTGCATCTTAATAATACATGTGCCTCGGGCTGGTTGCATAGCTCATAGATGAAAGTACTAACCAAGCATGTGTGAGATCCAGCACCCCTCATCCCCCCTCCACACAAGAACCCCCTACAGAAGCTCAGATAAACTGATCCCCCAAAACACTGTTATCCCCTACCTCCAAAATCCACAGGTACCGTCTGCAACTATGTATTATAACTACTGACAAAAATGATTGCATTTTATAAAACAGAAAATGAAATACACTGTTGGCTCCAGGATTCACTCAAAGCATACCAGTTACAGATGCGCATGACACAGAGAGGGCTTTAAACATCTTTCATCTCAGAAGGGTCAACTGATATGCATTAGATTTTCAAAAGCCCTGAAATTGTTGCCCCAGGAATAGAGCTGAGTTTGTAGCGTCCCCCACCTCATAACCACATAAATGACTTTACCCAACACCAGAGACCAAGTTCTACTTTAGTGTCTCCTTTACAGCAGGGGGGCTTAGGAGATTGTTTATGAATGCTATAAGGCACCCAGTGTCTGGCCCTCATTAACTTTAACCCAAGGCCAGGAATGAGGGATTAATGATAACATCAGGACCCAGCATGGTTCTATCTCTGGATGTGGTTATTCAACAGCCAAAATCTTGTCCGATTCTATCTCCATCAAACTTGCTAACACTCAAAGTCTATGACATTTGATTCCATTTCAGGTCAATACCCAAGTAATGATTTAACACTATATACTCTGAAAAATCTTCTACTGTTCGGATAGGACAAGTCTAAGAGTGCACTCTCTGGAACTCCAGTTGGGACCACCTGAGCGGGGCAGGAGACAACAACAAAGTACCTACTTGACAGTGCTGAGTCATTACAAGCTGTTTCCTCTGAGATGTTAGGGACCCACGGGCCCTTTGAGCATTAGTATCCCCTTTAGAGAGGCAAATAAATTAGATATATAATGTGTACAATAACGTAACCCCTTGTTGGGAAGAAACCACGGTGGGTAATTTAGCTTTAAGAGTGGGTAGCAGGAACTATACAAACTCACAGCTGCTCTCCAGGTACTGTAACTTTATCCCAGACGCTGAAAGATGGCTATTGGAATAGGGTGGGAATATTCCCCCTATAGCTTCGGCTCAGATCAGGGCTATTACACTTGGGCGCCTTTTACTCTAAGCTGTTAAATCCTCCCCCCCCCCCCCGGAATTGGCGGATGCAGAAACAGCCCGGAGAAAATGATGCATAATGGATTTTTCTTCCAGGCGATGTAACGAAGAGTAGAGGACGCAGGATGCCAACTGGCTTTTCTTGCCATGTGCAGGTCACCTGAAAACCGTGATGCCTTCTTCTCTAGAGAGGCTCCTGAACTCACCATCTGGCTCCGCTTTCAAGGGGGTAGGGAAATGGTTTCACGCCCACCTGCCCGCCGCCTCTCCACCCCGGACACCCCCTGCCCCCTCCGGGCGCTCTAGCTGCTGCCGGCATCCACGGTCCCGCCCGCTCCCGGCTCGCTCGGCAGCCCCGGCCGGCAGCTCCCCCGGCGGCCGCCTCTGCACCACTCACCAACCTCCGCGCCGGGCCGAGGTCACGCCCGCTTGCCCCCGACGCCCGGGCGGCCACCTCCTCCTGCCAAGGGGTAGCCCGAGACCCGGGCTGGAGAAGGGGGTCCGCGGAGGAGTTGGCAAGGGGACTCACCAGGTAGGCGCCCACCGTGCCCTGCGCCAGCATCAGGGCGCACTCGGACACCAGGAAGATCTTGATGTTGGAGAAGCAGGACACCTTCTTTTTCTTCTTCTTATTCCTCTGCGCCTCGTCCCCCTGCAGCTCGCCGCTCCGGCCGCCGCCCGACGAGCCTCCCGGCTTCTTCCCCTGCATCCTTCCCCCGCCGCCGCCGCCGCCGCCGCTTTCCCGCTCACCCCGGGTGTCGCGGCCGCTGCCGGGCGGGGGTGCGTACCGCGAGGCTGCGTGCTGTCCCCGCCCCGGGCCCGCGGCGGCCGTCCCAGTCCTGCCGGAGCTGGAGAGGTGGAAGGCACGGCTCCTCGCCTCCGCCGCCGCCGCGCTCGTCCCCTTCCTCCTCCTCCTCCTCCTCCGCCCTCCCCTCGCCTCCTCCTCCGGCTCGGGCTGTGCCAATCACAAGGGCTCCTCGCGCCGCCCGCCGCCGCCGCCGCCTCGTCTCCCGCGGACGCCCGCCGCTGCCATCGCCCGCTTCCCCTCGCCCGCCGGACGCGCCTGCCCTCAGTCCCTGTGCCCCAGCTCTGCGGCCTGGGGCTGGGACGCCACTGCGTGCCCCGGCTGAGCCGCTCCTGTTGCCGGTGCTCCCCTGGGGAGCCAAAGGGGATCGGCTTGGGTGCTAAGGGTGGTCAAAGCGGGGAGGGTCGGGCTGCTGGGAGAACTGGTGGTGGAGGGGGTAGTTCTAGCCGAGCAAAGCCGGGGGTGGGGCTGCCCCAGAGTATGGAAGGTGCCACCCAGTCCCTAGATGGCGCTGTGGGGCACTTGGGCGCAGCAGCAGAGACTGGGTGGTACTGCTGAGTAGCACTGGGACCAGAGATGGGGGTGCGAAGGCACCTCCACCGGGGTTAGAACTAGTGTTCAGGCTCCGGGGCGCTAGACCAGAGAGGAGGGGCTGTTTCCAGGAAGAAAGGCTACCGGGTGCCTTGGAATGGGTTAGCGCGCGCTCTTCCCCTCTGCCTGGGTATTTCTGGGGACAGATGTTTCGCTCTGGGGCTTGGGAAGATGCCAGAGGTCAGAGCTGCTTGAGGCTTCTGCCGCCTTCCGGCCCTCTGCTCCTTTGCTCCCTGGCCACTGAGCGTGCCTAAATGGCTGCAGCCAGAAAGGGGAAAAAGGAACAAAAGCTAAGCAAACCAGGGAAGTTTTTGCATTAATTCCTTCGGAGCAGCATGCCCCCAGCTAGGATGATGTCTGGGCGAGTGCATGGTCGCTGCGACCCCAGCAGAGGGCCTTATCTGGCCCTCCGAGGGCGTGGAACCCATCTGCAGGAATTAGCAGCCACACTAGGCGGTAGGAGGGAAGCAGTGGTTAGCCACAGGCCTGCCTTAGTCCTCACCCCTCCTCTGGCCGCGTAAGCCTTGGCCTGGATGCCTGACCATAGCAGCCCCTCTTTATCATCAGTCCTCATCCTCAGTGTTACCAAGGACTTTGAGCAACAAGGTACTATGGATAGGACCAGCTATCAGCCACAGCTTCCTGAAGCTTGCAGAAAATTGTATGGGTACTAGAAATACTCCCCAACTTCCACCTAGTCAACTGGGAGACCCCACAAATTATCTGGAATGTCTCCATGCAGACATCCTATGTCTCAATTCAAGGCTTACAATCAAAAGAGAATAGCAATTAACACTACCATAATTTTTACTTTCTCCCCCAGAACTTGAATGAGAATGAGTGGAGGGGGTGTTGTTTTGCCATGCCATTTAAATATAAATTGCGTTACTCCTCTGTGGTTCCAGACATGATCTCACACTGGCTTGATATGGTTTTGAGATGACCACCCCCACACCCGCTGCAGACCACCTCCTATTTGAATAGCTCCCCAGAGGTCTTTTTTCCATTTTCCCAACCCCCAGATTTCACATCTTGGGCTACATTATTCCCCACCAGCCCTACTATTAGAATACTTACCTCCATTACTCTTACTGCCCACAGCCTCTCTTCACTGATAGCCAGTTTTTCTGTCAAATCCTCAATTTCACTACTGTGTCCCTCGCCATCATTCTAGCATTTAGGGGCACTCCATTTACTCCTGAGAAGACCCTGGATGCGCTAGCTATATTTTGCCTTGGCAAGTTGCCAAGCTGAACTGAGACTTTTTGACTTGTTTCTGAACAGTGATCCCTATTGCTATTGAAATGTCATTCAAAGCACATTATAGTCTTCAAGTCTTATTTACATACTGTGTAATAACAAGAGCTAATGTTTATTTTGTGCTTGCTCTGGCCAGGCATTCTTAGTGCTTCACCACATTAACAATTTAATCCTCACAACAATCCTCTAACCTAAATGTTGTCATTGGCCCTGTTTTACAGATGAGAAATTAAGGCCCAGAAAGATTAAATAATTTGACCAATGTCACTTATCCCGTAAATGGCAGAGCCAACCTTTGAAAGCAGGGTGTCTGCTATCACAGCCCAGATTCTTAATAACTTCTATATATTAGCTCATTCATCACCCAGCAATCTGTCTTTCAGGGAGTTCAGGACTCATTTTTTCAACTTTATAAGTGAGAGTCAGAGAGGTGTAATTACTAGCCTAATGTCACACAGCTAGAACAGGACAGGACTTGAACCCAAGTCCAGCCCTCTCCCATACCATATTGTCTCATCTGCAGTCTGAGAGGGAATAGGCTTTCTTTCTTTTTTTTTTTTTTTTCAATTTACCCATTTGTTTGGGATTTTAAAAGTTAATTTTAAGAGAAATCAGAGGATTCCAGATCAGGATTATAGTTTCTTCTCTAATTAACAGTAAGCAGCGATGAACATAATTCTGTACCCGAAGGCTTCAAAATCATCAAAATCGGCCTACAGCCTCAAAGAGGTACAGAGAAGAAATGTAACATGTTCTGTTCCCTGCCTTCTTGACTAGTCCTTTCTTGACGTGTAGATCCAGGCTCCGGGGGTAATGAGGTGTGCTTGTGAACAAGCACCTCTGCTTGGCAGTTCTCTAGACTGACATGCAAAGGGGAAGCAGAAAGAGAGTAAGCATCCTCGTATCTGTATAGGTCATTAATACTTAAAAAGTGCTTTCATGTCCTTTATCTCAGCAGGACCCCACATACAGGGAGATCTGGTCTTCTTAGACTTGTTTTACTCCTAAGAAACAGTAGCAAGTGGCTTTTCAGAGCTCACAGCTAGCAGGTGGCTGGAACTGAACCTGCATTTTCCAACCATGAGTCAATAGGAGTACCTAGGAGGAGGAGGAAGTGCCATCTTTACCAGCCTCTGACAAGGACATTTGCAATCACTTGAAGAGTAAGGCAAACAACTTGAACACCACCCAACACTTCAACAGGGTGACCTTAAATACTGCCTTGGAGAAACGTTGCAGGCATCCCTTCCAGGCAGGGGGCCTCTTTCACCCATCTATCTGCCTGGTCATGGATAGTGAATTTATGACTGGGTCAGTATTATGAATGGTTATAAAGTTCTTGCAAATATTTTAGCTTTTAACTACTTTTCTGAGCTAGGCAACTTTTCAAAGTTAGATGAAACTATTGCTTGCTAAGGTGTGGTTTGGAGATTCTTTTCTTTATTGGCGACTAGAGGTATTCCAAACATTGAGAAACCATGTAATCTTGAAATCTGACCTAGGTCAGCCAAAAGGAGATTGGGTGACATGGGAAGATAAATTGACTTTTGATTCCTAAAATATTAATAAGCTGTAAGTAAATGCTTAGTAATTAGAAAGTGGAGAGTTCTCTTCCTCTACTTGAGAAAGGACCATCAGTTCATTTCTGTAGGAAAGAAGTGGGTTAACCTCATGGTCACTGCAGAAAGAAAAGAAAAAAAGTGACAATATCTTCCACAGTTACTGGGCTGTGGCAAGATTTCACAGCAAGCAGCCCCAATGTAATTCAACACAATGAGAAACTGTTGTTCAAGTAATTCACAGGAACCATCTTTTGCCAGCTTCAATTTTGTTCCCAGGCAAATACAACGTTGAAAAATAAATACAAAGAATGATTTCTGATTGTCACTGGGATGGAAAATAGATGCTTAGATTCTCACCCTGTGGATGAGTCCCCCCCCCCCACCTTGGTTTGAAAATGCACCAATCATATATTATGTCCAACCAAGGATAGAATTGAGACTGAGCCAAATTCTTTGGCTTGAAACTAATATTTGGGCTGAATCGAAGCATATTTTTTTTTTTCCTTAGAGTTTTTGCCTCCCCGTCCCACTTTCCAATTAGCCTGTTCCATATGCCTTTCTACTATAAAGCCCCTGTTTGTGACTTACTATATTCACAGTTCCACATTTTAAATTATCTCCCTTAATTTGAATATGTCCTAAAGCTCAGCAAAGAAATGAAAAGGATAAACACCAATATGGATGCAATTTTTAAAAAATGGTTTATCTGAAATCCAAATGGAAAACAGAAGAAAGAATAAACATGTAGAAATTGGAAAACTGTTGTGAGATAACTAGGGTTTCAGGAATGGTTATATAGATATAACTGTTTATATAGATATAAAGTTGGTTATATAAATATAACACTGTGTCAATGAATATTAGTTTTGAGGTAAAGGAGAAGAAATAAAAATAATAAACTTTCACCAATATTAGTGTGTTTGGGGAGCTCATCATTAGTGCCTTCTCTTCATGTGTATATATAAATAGAATTTGTTTATCCAAATATCCTGTTTGCTCCTTAAAGATAGAAAGAGTGTTTCACTTTAAAGATAGAGGATCATTTACCCTCTTGAGTGCCTATCAGACTCTCTGCCAAGAAGTTTGGAACAAGAGAAAGACCCAGAAAGTGTCAAGGTTTGTAGAAAACTTCCTTCCAGGAATTCTCTGTAGGTACTCACTTCTTTGTCCTCTGAGCAACTGTGGACACTCACTTTCTGCAGCAGAAATGTCCTCATTAACCCTTTTCTGACATAATGCCTCCCCTCCACTCCCTGAGAGGAAGACTTGCCCAGCTTCACTTTCAGTCTCTGAAAAATACACATGACCTTTGCA